GGACCGCCACATTTCTTTGAATAATACAAATCATTAAAGCTTTGCATAGCATGACCTGTTGCTATGGCTAGCTTCGCCACTGGTGAAGAGGATGGCTTAATAAAGAAATGACTTATTGGTGAAGCCGAAACACAGCAGATAACAAACGCAGTAAATTACTGCCAGGACAGTAAATCTAAAGAACACAAATGTGTTTCTGTATACAAAGGAGGGGGGGGGGGGGCTTATTAAAGAAGAAAGTTAGATGAAGGATTTATAAGTTCTTTGTAAGTTCGTTCAATCCATGGATTCATAGAAGGATTTATAGTAGATAGAAATGGGTAAAATCCTCTTAGATCCTAATCCAACGAATATGCCCATACACTAGAGCTGGATGTATTGTTTTTGTGAATGATTCTACTGTATTTCTATGAACAACAATAGTTCATGAACACAAATATTGAATCTGAATTGTTGAGATCATTCATGGATATCAACGAACTTGGGAAAACAGGGTGTTGAAAAGTGACTTGAAATCGACAATAATATATGATAAATACGGGAGGGACTTTTTAGTTACCTTTGTTGTAGGTTTTGTAGGACCTTCAGGTGCAAATGAAGTTCATTTCAAAGTACGAACTTCGATTGTAAACAAATGTAAAAATTTCATTTATAAATTTATTTAAAAGGCGTTTTTCGTCTTGGGAGACCACTGGACCAATAAACGACATGCCTCTAGAAATAATCAATTCGACAATCGATATATATATGCTGATGACACTGCATTGCTTTCTTGTTCAAAATGGAATGACATAGAATAATATTGAGAAATGGGCAATTGAAAACAAGATGTTTTTAAATGCAAAGAAAACTAAATCAATGCTTGTCTCAGGAAAGCGCTTACGTAAACGATTGTCGGCTGATAACACAAATCTGAACATCATTACTTTGACCGGAAAAATAACGAACAAATAGCATAAAAATCAAGCAACAAGGGGAACTCAGATAATGTTCTAAGGATGCAAAAACGTATCATTCTCGAAGCGGAAAGGAGGACTCCATCAGTTACAATGTTTAACCATGCTAAGTGTTTCAAAACGAAACTTTTTAACTCAATCTTAGAGGAGCAAAAACTTTCTAGCTCCTTTTAACGTAACAAAATTCTAATGTAACATAACTATGTAATATAATAAGGCTTCTATTCATATTATGTAACTAAATAGTATTTTATAATATTTTTAACCTTTGTGTTGTATCTAGCTAATTTAGAGGGCCACTAGGTTATCAGTGTCTTCGCGGATACTGTCATGTGTTTACCCTCTTTAAATAAAGTCAAATCAATCAATCAATCAAATCGATGGTCAGACCGAACTTGTTATATCCTACATTTTTAATTTTACACGTTGGTTTGAAGATAATGATTTTATCTTTCATGATCAGAACAATTTCAGCGCCGCAAACTCGTGCAATATTGCTTTTAACACTGAAGGTCTTATACTCTTATTTCCATCTCTATGTATTCTACGTCATATTGTCCGTATCAAAGTAATAATCAATATGTCAAATAGTGACGTCATCTATATTCACATCATCGTCCTCCAGGCTCTACCTGTACGTCATTCTCCTTCCTAGAGCCGGTTAGAAACAGCACCTGATGGTCTCCTTCCTTTCTTCTCCTGCTTTCCTACTCCCTGTAACCTGATCGGTTAAATTATAAACATTACCTGGTGGTGGTGTCTCTTGTTGTTTTGCTTTATTCGCACTTTTCTTTCCTTTCTTCTCTTGTTTCTTATCCTTCCCTCCTCCTCCTCCTTTCTTCCCAGAATCTTTCTCTTTTTCTTTCTCTCGTTCTTTCAGAGCTTCCGCCATCTTGTTTGCTTCTTCTTCCTGCTCAGCTTGGTCCAGACTTGCCTGGAAAAAAATATTGTTGAAGAGTTTTTTTAATAGCTTCAAACACGACCACAATAGATGCCATCTCATTAGTATTCTTTATATAAAGAATACTAATTAGGATGGACTTTTATATAAAGAATACTAATGAAGATGACTTTTATCAGGTAAAGCCTCTTCACGTGACATATTATGGTTGGCATGTTTTGCCAATAAGCTTAATATGAATTATTAATGAATGTTTCAAAGCCATATAAACACCATGAATGCAAAAAGCCTGTAAAATCGTATAGGACAAATAGCGACTACCTGTCTTGATTACCTGCGAGACCTCAGTTAAAGAATACATTTTAGTTTATTTATTGCTTTGGTATACTAGCACCATCGAATACTTTTAGAGTGCACATTTAAATTTATAGTTCTCGGAATTTAATTAATAGTGATGTTGAACATTGCATCACGTTGAGCAGTAATTGGCATCATTAGGCAAGGATACACAGTGCCAATATTGTACCGTAATAAACTTTATCAGTTTATATCTTTTGATTGGCTGCTTCACAATCATGACAATAACTAATTATTCTTAAAGCTTGTATCTTCACTAAGAAGTTTAAACATACTCTCTCATCAGGATCTGAGGGTAAAACGGGAGTTTCTGATTGGTTATCAGCTTTATCTCGTTTTTCTTTCGAAGATCGTTTGTCTTTCTTTTCTTTGGTTGAGGCGACATCTCCTGATTTAGGTCGCCGGGGTACCAGAGGGATTCTAAAGGAAATAAAGAGAATGCTTAATAAAGCATTACACTGACTTAAGATTAAGCTAATCCGCTTTAGAGCAAACCTAATATAATCGCCTTCATGAAGAGATCAGTAGCAAGAAGTGTTGAAAGCACTGAATTCAGCCTCCGTTAGCTTGGACAAAAGAACCACGACAGATTATTGAAAAATACTACCTACACTGGACTTCCAGGTTTGAGATATCTTTCCACGCAGTTCAGACACAAACCCAAGCAAGTTATTGAAAAAATACTATCTACACTGGACTACCACATTTGAGATATCTTTCCACGTAGTTCAGACACAAACCCAAGCAAGTTATTGAAAAAATACTATCTACACTGGACTACCACGTTTGAGATATCTTTCCACGTAGTTCAGACACAAACCCAAGCAAGTTATTGAAAAAATACTATCTACACTGGACTACCACGTTTGAGATATCTTTCCACGTAGTTCAGACACAAACCCAAGCAAGTTATTGAAAAAATACTATCTACACTGGACTACCACGTTTGAGATATCTTTCCACGTAGTTCAGACACAGCATTATTAAAATACTACTACACTGGACTACCACGTTTGAGATATCTTTCCACGTAGTTCAGACACAAACCCAAGCAAGTTATTGAATAAATACTATCTACACTGGACTTCCAGGTTTGAGATATCTTTCCACGTAGTTCAGACACAAACCCAAGCAAGTTATTGAAAAAATACTATCTACACTGGACTACCACGTTTGAGATATCTTTTTCAGGTAGTTCAGACGCAAACCACGACAGCTTATTATAGAATACTACCTACACTGGCCCACCACGTTTGAGATGATAAAATTTTTTCAGGTAGTTCAGACACAAACCACGACAGTTTATTGCAGAATACTACCTACACTGGACCGCCACGTTTGAGATATCTTTTTTCAGGTAGTTCAGACACAAACCACGACAGTTTATTGCAGAATACTACCTACACTGGACCGCCACGTTTGAGATATCTTTTTTCAGGTAGTTCAGACACAAACCACGACAATTTATTGCAGAATACTACCTACACTGGACCGCCACGTTTGAGATATCTTTTTTTAGGTAGTTCAGACACAAACCACGACAGTTTATTGCAGAATACTACCTACACTGGACCGCCACGTTTGAGATATCTTTTTTCAGGTAGTTCAGACACAAACCACGACAGCTTATTGTAGAATAACTATGTAAACTGGACCCACAGGTTTGAAATATGAATTGTTAACCTGCTTCTATGATCTTCTCCTTCAGACGTTGGAGCTTCAGGTGTTTTAACATTTTCTCGATCTTTTCTACTTGATGTTTGTTTCACTTCATGTTGACTTCCATGTTCACTTCCTGATGACGGTATAGCAGGAATGATGGGAGGAAGCTCAACCAGAGGAACACGGCAGATCTCGGAGTATGCTTCGATAGGATTTTTACCTAAAGTTTTGAAAAGTTTATATGATAATTACCATTCCTTAACTATAGTAAGCGTAGATCAACCAGAGGAACACGGCAGTTCTCTGAGTATGCTTCGATAGGATTCTTGCCTAAAGTTTATAAACTAAATTATCATTTCTTAATTATGGCGAGCGTAAGTCAACCAAGGGAACACGCTGGAGAGTACGATAGGATTCTTACCTAATATTTTGACGGTTTTTGAAAATGATCAAGTATATATTTGCTAGTATTGGTAAGATAGCGTAAAAAGATCCATATAGAGAAACACGACTGACTTCAGAGTACACCTGGATTAAATAATCTTGGAGGGTGTGTGTCTAGGCTGTGGGGAAGGGTGTGTGTCTAGGCTGTGGGGGAGTGTGTGTGTCTAGGTTGGGGGGGGGAGGTGTGTGTTTAGGCTGTGGGGGAGGGTGTGTGTGTCTGAGGTATGTGATTGACGGGGAAAAACCTCCAGCTATAAACCTCTTCGGGATTGACATCCTAGTTTGAAACGAGGTGTCGTACCTTCAGCGGAATTATAATAATCTTTCATCCCTCGATATGTGTCTTGATAGCGATCAACTTCTATTTGCATCAAAGTTAAATAATGATTAGTTAATAATCCCAGACGATCTTGAAGCCAACCTTCTTCCATTACAATAGTCCGTTCGTTTTCTGCCATTTCTTTACGGTTGTCACAAATCTCGTACAATCTATCACATAGGTCCTGAAAAATACAGTACAAATATATAACAAATCTTAAACAAATATATAACAAATATATAATAAATATATAACAAATATACAGGGTGTATTGAATTAAAGGTAATCTAACCGTGGCATGGTATCGTGCGTTAAGTATAAAAGTTCTTATCAAACAAATATTATAATAAAAGTTCTTATCAAACAAATATAAGGGACTTCGTCGGCCCGATGCAGAGCAAATTGCCCTCCTCCTCGGAGGCACTCAAAAGATTTCAAATTGTCAAATGTCTGCACCATTATACGCAATTAACTAAATTAAATTGAATGTAGACAGGAAATGCAATTTTATGTCCAGTTCATGACATAACTCCCTTGACCTCATCATCAAGCATATCTTATTATGTACATTCCATACCCTGTAGAAGTTCATTAGCGACTAATTAATGTGTTATGTGCCTGAATAAGACTTTCTGATTAAAAAGAATATATATATCTTACGTCGACTTCTTGGTGTAACTCAGCCTTGACTTCATCGTCGGCACGCATATCTTCAGCGACGTCATTGTAATGATTCTGCCATTGAAGCACATATTCTTCTTTCTCATCAGTCCGTCGTAAGAACGACAGAAATTCTTTTCTAAAAACAATTAAATAATGTATTGATTACCATTTGCTATTCATTATAATTCATTGTGAATTTTATTGTGATCATCATGATTGTAAATTGGACAACATGTTTCACAAGCTAACTGTACATGCGCACAAATTTCACAGCTTGTCAAGAAAATGTGTTCGTTCACACTGCTTGTTCCCAGTTGTTGACAAGTCTGGAACAGGTTGTTATCATCTAATATCGTCTGTACGTAACAACTTGTTAACCGAATTGATGATAACAAGCTCGTAGCAACTTGTTACAAACAGTCTGTATTAGTCTGTTAGACTGAACTTGTAGCAAGTCTGTTACCGTCATCAACCTTGCATAACAAGATTTTAACAACTTGTTACAGACATAATAACTGGGAACAAGAGTGCGAACCCATGCTTGACAACAACCTTGTTACACCTTGTTTGTACATCTGTAATAACACGTTTTTACGTGTGTATTAGCGATCACAATCTTTTATCTTATTCCCTTACTTAAGTTAGGAAAACACTGGATGAAAGGCGACAAAATCTCACGGAAAATGTATGAGTAATGTTATCAATGATAACTGTCCGGAGATAGCCCGTGGCTACACTGTACAGTACGTCTCTGTTTCGAACGAACGTCAAGAGAGAAATGTGTTTATATTTCACCGCGGCTGATGCTGACGTTTAGATATATTAACAACATTCTGATTGTTTTCATCTTTCATTTATACAATGTCTCGTACCTGGTGCCGTAAAAATATCTGTATATCAACTCTCGTTCCAGTCGAATTTCACGGAAGACATTCTTACTGGTGTCAATGTAAGTCTTCTCTAAGTTCTCCCATCGATTTGCAAGAATTGTCACCAGCGGCTGGAGGGAAAAAGGAAAAAATAAACATTGACATTGGACACAAAGTTTTATTTCACCCTTTTCTCTCTTCTATTTTCAATTCTTTTTAATTCCTTCTTTTCTCTTACTCTCACCTCAAGACAATGTTACGCCATTGATTTGCAGCTTTCAATTTCTTCATATTTATTCTACGCTTCTATCATCATATGCTCATGGCAACCTCTCAATTTTTACGATTAGATTTATTTGTATCTGACTCCAAAAAACATTCCCATAAAGGCAGTTTTCCACTTCAAATCGTATCGAACCGAAACGTAGTGTATTTCTTTGTTTCCTGAGTGTTAGTGTGGAACTAATGACTTCGACACAAAAGAAAATGCTACGGTACGTTACGATACGGTTGAAGTGGAACACAGGCTTAATGAGAATTGACATTCTAGCAGAAGAATAGGACGCAAAGGCTCATGGGATGCTGTACCGAGTCGTTCCCAGATTCCCATAATTTAGCGCGGGATGAGCAACTTGGGAGGAATGAGATTTTTCATAACATTGCGTTGAAAGTTGCGGCAAAAATTGTCCTTCGTGACACTTCCCATGACGAGCTGTCATAGTAATTTTAGAAACTTTCCTAGTCCTTTCCTAAAACAATTTTAAACTTTTTCCCATTTCGCTACTGCCCTCAGAAGGAAATATTTACCATATCAATAGGTTGATCAACATATTCCCATTCCTTGGACCCAGGCTCTGGACCTGGCGGAACAACAGGCTCGACTGGCAACTCCTCTGGAACTTCCTGTTTTTTTACTAAATCAAAACGAGAAATGCCAAGTTATTTAAATCACTCAATTGCTAAATCTGTAACTACAATCATTTTCACTTGCAGTTTTAGATAATCAGCAGATGTATTCAACTTATTACAAACATTTTTATCTCCCTGCCCCTCTCCATTCAATGTTGTTTACCCAACACTATAGAACACCAAAGTAAGATGCTAACTGAGACCCAATATTGAACCGGGCAAGGGGGGGGGGAGGATAGAAGTTTTTCACAGTTACAGTTGGGGCATCTCTGTCCCAACACATTTGAAAGTGATTGTACATAACTATACACATAACATAACATAACATAAATAACTTGAACGAACTACAACATATGTATGACGTGTGACTGAAAGAAGTGAAATTTATGGCAAAGCTGCGAACAATTGTCAATCAGCAATCTCGTCCCCAGGGTCATCTTCACGGCGGCGCGCGAGGAAAGAGATGATCTGTAAATTGGTGCAAATTTTAATTTTTTAATTTGTATCATAAAAATTCAAAAATACATTATTTGAGTTATACATATTTTAATGCGACTGCTACCAATAAAATCGTTAAAAGATAAGTTACTAATCCTATCTGTGCGCGCATGCGCTGTAATGCATTTAAACTATCACCGCAATCATCACAGCATATTTGATGAAATATAAACAAAATCCAAACGTGATATAAACAACACCGGTTACTCCGGTTTCCTCCTGTAGTAACACTAAAAATAATTTTTGTTGGTCCCCTTTAGCTATCCGGGGACTTTAAATACTTAATTAAATTTAAAAAAACAAAGGTCATGTCAAACGAGAAACGACGTCTTACCGACTTAGTGGACTTATTGCAATTTGGCAACATTCTTCATCAAATCCCTGGGGCTTATGATTGATGAAAATCTATCGTGGCAAGAACACTTAAACTATATATCCAAAAAAGTAGCCAAAGGCCTGGGAATGTTAAGACGCATTCGTGATCTGGTAGGTAGGTCTGGTGCCAATTAACACGCTAGTTGACATATACTCTTCTATCATTCTCCCCCATTTTGATTATTGTAGTTCTGTGTGGGATAATTGCAGAAAAGGTTTACGGAATAAACTTCAAAAATTACAAAATCGAGCAGCTTGAATAATTACTAGGAGCAACTACGAAATACGCTCTTTCCAAATTTTAAATAACTTAAATTGGCCGACACTAGAAGATAGGCGAATGAAACAAAAATCTTGTCTAATGTTCAAAGTGTACCACAAATTAGGCCCATCTTATCTTTCACAGCCATTTAATCGAGCGAATTTAATTCACAGTCATGGTACACGAGGTCATGACTACAATTTTGTTATCCCTAAACCAAACACCAATTTTTTGAAAAATAGTCTCGAATATAACGGAGCAGTGGTATGGAATTCAATACCAATTGAAATTAGGAATTCCACTTCCCTAAAAATATTCAAAAATAAACTGTAGGATTACTTTGTTATGTATATATAGCTTTAATTTCTCATTCTCCTTGTAAATGTTGTAAATAATTCAAATGTCACGGCGCCTGGGAAGATCATCTTATTTTCGATGACAGGCCTTCGTGCCTAAATAAAGTTCACTATCACTATCAGACATTCATGTAGAAGGGTATTCCAATGAAATTTACAACTTGGTCCGCCATTTAATAAAGCAGGTTTTCCACTAAGCGGAATGTTCCACGCGGAGCGGAATTTTTTGGGGTTTTTTTTCCCATTAGTTCCACCCGAGAAATCACAAGACCAAGAAAAATTCCGCTCCGCGCGGAAAATTCCGCTAGGTGGAAAACGGCCTTAACGTATTGCTAAAATTAACTATTGCATAGTATCCTAATAATGCGCATGCGCTGTAATATGCATTTAAACTATCACCGTAATCATCATAACATATTTGATGAAATATAAACAAAATCCAAACGTGATACAAACAACACCGGTTACTCCGGTTTCCTCCTGTAGTAACACTAAAAACAATTTTTGTTGGTCCCCTTTAGCTATCCGGGGACTTTACTATTTGAAACAATAAAATTAAATATTAGGAATAAAATATTAGAAAATGATCAACACTGGTGATGGGCAATATCCACATTTTCGATACTGCTTGGATATTTGTCATGGCATATTGGCGTCCCTTGTGTACATGCGTGAATTAACTTGCAGTTACAGGTGGATAACTGGACTCTGTAGCTCAGTTCAATGGTTTATAGAGCGCTGCACTGGAATCGCAGGTTTGATTCCTGCGAGGGCGTATAGTTGCATTTTTTTGCTTCAGCTTAGGCCTAATAAATTTGTCAAATTTTTTCCATCTACAAAACCCTTCGTCTTCGATATTTACTTTTTTTCAGTACCGATATTTCTGCGATTTTCTCGCCAAGTAGGCGTTTTTCATGCCACAATGGGTGTTATAAGACGACAAAATGCCGAGCGAAATGCGACTTTGTGCACGGAGTTATAACCGTCAACTACAGGAATATGAGACAAAATCACAGAAAAATCGCAATGTTTCCATCTGACATCAAAATACCGAGGATGCATAAATATTATCGAATTTTTAAGTGAATTAAATACAAAACAAAATAATACACACTATGGAGAAATGGTGTGTAGATTCTCTAAGTTTAGCTTTAGATGGTATTTGCTAAACAACGAAATAACTAGAAATGCATGTATGCAACAGCCCCTCGCCTTTATTTCGCTAACACTGCACACAGGCTTGCATTAATATAATAATAATAAAAATATTTATTCAGGAAGCTCCACACACCGAAGTGTTTTTCAGGGAGGTCCTGTAATATATATCTATATTATACATGGTAAACTATACTAGCTATGCTTATTTAAAAACTATAAAATATTTACAAATGGATTATACATAACAAGACGCCGACTCTGCGTTAACCTCGGGTCGGTGGATAGGGCATCGTCTGGTAAATATGCAAAAATGGTGTAAATCACGATAGTTTAATAGTTCGCTAGTATAAATGGTGAATCAGTCAATCAAAGCTCCGTTTTAACATTTTATTGATAATAATTACTGACCCTCATCAAACCTATTGTTTTCTCTCTGCATTATATCAGCGGATGTCGAGAATTTTTAACATTCTACTGAAAAACGGGAGCGGTGATTGTAGGGAAATTTCGGCCCAAGGTAAATATTTATACGGACTAAAAATAGCACACAGCATTATTAAAAATAATGCAGCATGCAGACAATAGCGGTAGTGCATCTTCGTCAGCGGCCACCCCGACATGCACACGCGATAGCGTGAACATCCCAAGATGGGAAGGTGACAGTGCCTGAAGCGCTGCCAAAAACGGCCACCATGAGTCCTTTCAGTTCAATTTTATAGAGAAATAGTTTCGTTTGCGCTTGTGGGATTTTATCCTAGATATACGCATGTGCAGAACACACCATAAGTTCTATTCCCGTGTTTATCCAATACGCTATTTGAATAAACCTTATCATTAATGATAATATGTAAACTAGAACACTACAATTGACCTCCGCTTGTGGAGATTTTAGTTTAGGGCGATTAATTAAACTGAAATCTGTTCTATCACGATGCACTACAGTGCCTATGGTTATGTCTATATGTGTGTCCTCAGAAATGTCTAGTGTAACGTTGGATAGGTTCATTGTCATACGGTCCCGACAAGCAGCAACGTACAGTAGTCTTCCAGCCGAAAATAATTACTTTTGATTCGGGTCAGTAATTATAATAGATAACAAGTGAAAGTTGGCCGCGGTATTCCCATGCTATGCATACGAAGTATTGTGCATTATATCAACATATACTCGAGAATAGTTATCCAGCTAAACATGTATGTCAAAATTATCACATCTTCTGGTTTATCAAATTATCACATCTTCGGATTTTGTGCAAGGACAGCTTCGGGTTACCGGGAGTTGTCGTCTCCTCCGCAGGCTCTTCGACTACGCGCGCGGCTCGACACAAATGGAAAAAAAAAAAATAGGAGTCGAATTTATGACCTCGGTGTCGTACCGACCCGAGGTAATTATACTTCATAGTTAGAACACCCCCCCGAAAAAAAACAAAGCAAAAAACAAAACAAAAAAAACCCCAAAAACAAACAACTTAACTTAATTAGACAGATTGTTCAACTTAATTAGAAATTGTTTTAGTTTGGATTTAAAGAGATTAAGATTAGTAGATTGTTTCAGTTCAATAGGTAATGAGTTCCATTCCGATACCGAGTGATAAGTGAACTGCTGTTTTCCCCAATTCGTACGTGGGCGTGGAAGGTAGTAGTTGCTATTCTGGCGTGTTTTATGGCTATGTATATGGGAGATCATGATAAAGTTAAAATCAAAGTCGACTAGATGGTTAAGACATTTAAAGACAGAGATACAACGGTGGTATTTTCGACGCAGGTAAAGGGGTTTCCACTCAAGGGCTTCGGTAGCGGAGGAATGTCGAGGAAGATCAAGGATAAGTCTCGCAGTATTATGTTGTAGAACTTGAAGGTGGTTCATTAGAGTGGAGTTGTTTTTGTCTCCCCACACGATATCTCATATCATTGCTCGCGTCAAATTAGCCATGGCAACACGATCATTACTTTTTAATTTTTTTTGTGCAATACGGCAAAAAAATAATGAAAGTTTAACATTTTTAACTATAAACTGCCAATTTCTAAAATATATAAAGTAGGAAGGTTATTCTTCATTCTCATAAGCTTCAATTTAAAGTAAAATGCAATCATGGTCGCTTCATAAAATGATAAAAATGTTCATTTAACTTTATAATAAATCCTGTTCCAATTGTTCGCCTGCACATTTTTGCTGATTAACTATTTAACTTAAGACTTTTTATTAGTTGCAACGAAATCAGTTCTAATCATACAGTTCGCTCTTGGAAATAAATTTTCTTCTTTTAAATTCTGTTGAAGCTGTCAGTTCAATATGAAATAGGGCAATTTAGGAGGCAAGTGAAAAACCCGAAAACAACGTACATGTATTACGAAAATAACTACAAAACAAACTTGGTTTATATTTCATCATTTCACATCTTATATCTCTTCTTAATATCATTTCTTTAAAGTAAAATTTAAAAAATCGCTATACAGCTCATTGTATGAAACGACTTTTCCATATGTTTTCAACTGAAATCGTAGCAGTTGGATCATTCCACTCCTGGCAGTGCGCCATATTTTGAGATCAGTGAGATGACCACCTTACTACTAGCAGCTTTCCTTTTCCCGGGTGTAAATAGTCGTGCCGAATTAGTACCTTCGTCCCGGAACTTGGCTTGGGGATAATCAATTGTAGTTTATTTCAATAATTAAACGTGGTACATACCAGGTGACTTTGCTCTCTTTGCATCAGTTCTTGAAGGTGTGGGTGATTTGACCTTCGATGCTTTTCTAGAAGGTGATGGTGAAGTCTTCTTCGAACCAGGTCGTAAGTTTTTCTTGGAAGATTTAGGAGAGACAGCTTTGTTGGGTGGTGATGGACTACGATCTTTCTTGGAGATTTTCTTCGATGCTTTGGGCGACACTAAATACAAGAAGTTTGCATTAGAATTTCTCTGATCCCGGTGAAGCACTGCTACGATTGATCCCAAACCACCCTGAAAATATTCTCTGTGGGGGAGGGGGCAACCGGAGGAGAAAACGAAAAAGGCGTTTGCTCTGACAACCACCGACCTTGATTGTACAATATTAATACAAAACGAAGGTCTAAAAGATATCTCGATGTGTAGAAGATGAAATACAGATCTATGACAGAAACGAGTGTCATGATTGATAATGAACTGAATTTAAAATTTACAAGTTAAAGAAGCAAACCGAAAGTGGAATAGACTTTTCCAACTTGGTTCAGTTGTATCCATAGTTGTATCCCAGTGCATTTTTTAAGGATTCTTCAGTGGTGGGGCAAAACTGCCAAAGGGCCCATCAAGGCCGTAGCTAGCAAAATATTTCCGAATATTTCATGGCATACGAAGCCAGGAAGGTGTTTGCTATCCTGAAAATGGAGACGCAATTTACAAACACAAATACGCATATTTTACGCACAGACATATTACTGTAGCATGCAGTGCCATAGGAAGCTCTATTTGATTTGGGGGCTGAAAATGGAGGTATTCTAAAGGTATATTATTTAAATGACAAAGGTCTGCATGCATGATTTTGAAAAATGAATGATTTATATTAGCAAATTATTGGGAAGGCTGCAGCCCCCCCCCCCCCAGGTTGCTACGGCCTCAGAAGTAATAAACCGAAAAATAAACACTTACCGATTTACGATTTGTCAAATGTTATCCATGTAAATGCCATGATTTCGTAAATCAGTTTATACTGACAATACAATTATATTATATTTTCTCTGTTTAACAACTAAAATTTTGTTATACTATTATTGCCGTAATTTTCCGAATGGCCAACCTGGTTTTCCGAATATGTTAATTCTACAAAAGTTGGGGGGAGGGGGCCTAACCACCAATACCCCCATCGCTACGGCCCTGGGGCTCATTTTCCTTGCCCTCACTCCCCCAGGATAGTATGCCGATCGCCGAAGGTGTGAGCCGAGTACCGCAGGCAAAAGTTAGCTACGGGGGTCTGGGGCATGCCCTACCAGGAAATTTTTAAAATGTGGATCCCTGAAATAGCATTTCCTGCATTCTGAGAACACATTTCAAAAAATCTCAGCTTTTCAAAACAAAGTTCTAATGGTGTAATTTGTAATAAATTGCATGCTAAACATTCAAACACAACATAAGTTTAAGTATGCTCACCAACAAATTTTGATTTTTAAACGTCTTTTCAATGTTAAACTCGTTTACTCACTCAGGTCCTAGGGCCCTGACTTTGGGGCAATAGGCCATTTTTTTTCTTCAGTGGTGGGGCAGAGGAAGGAGCCCAGTGGGGCAAATTCCCCACCACTCCATGGTATTAAAAATGCCTTGTTGTATCCATTATTCGTTCACAAGCTGAATGTAACACGCATAGTCTCGCCTTCATTCTCTCATTTCTGTTGAACTTTGTTCAGTCTTACAACACAATGCGTGAATTTTCGGTCTGATTTCAAAAGATTGAAGGCTATACATGGTGTATAGAGACGGAGCTTCCATCTGCATTTAAGGAAGGGAAACATGTTCTGATACACAATTAAGAATTAGTTCATTCATTCTATAGGATATAATTTCTCATTACAAACCTGTTTTCGTATTAAGAGTATCCTTGGTGTCCTCGACATCCTCGTGGGCCTCTGTTGGCTCATCTACTGCTATGTTGACGATATCTACAGCTTCATTCACCGGAGTTGCGTGTGTAACTACAAAGTAATACAAACACCGCGGTCAAACGTAAAGCGCATGTGCGGGTATGCGGAAATGGCGGGGGAAATGCCTGCCAAAATATAGGAATAAATACGGGAAAAGAAAAGCGTTTCACTAAAAGGAAACGGCGGAAGCTACAAGGTAGGGCTTTTTCCTTCTGCCAGGACGAAATTATATCATAATATTCTATAAACTTTTTGCTAATGCTTTGTGAAGACAATAATAATTCCAGGTCGTGACTTTTGAATACAAGCAGTAAATCAGTACGTCTGTTTATTTCAAAACTTCAGAAAATTAAACTTCCGATGATCCAGATAAGATTTCTGAAAAATATTCCCAAGTTTACCAACAAGCCTGCTACGAAATATGCTTTGAATTTTAGGTTAACTTGCAAGAGGTAAAGCTAATCAGCTTTCGAACAGCCGGCCCCAGCCTCATTCGGTGAATTTTAGGTTAACTTGCAAGAGGTAAAGCTAATCAGCTTTCGAACAGCCGGCCCCGGCCTCATTCGGTGAAAGATGGAATGTTCCATTCAACTCGGCTGTCGCCTCGTTGAACGGAACATTCCATCTTTCACCGAATGAAAACATTCTTACCATTGCACGAATAAAAACATTCATTATTTGTATAATAAGGCACTTCACTGTAATGCCCTTTGTATTACGATATTTTTCATCCACGTATTGTAACTTGCATATCCACTCAAATATTGGAGAGAAACTGGGTGACAATTTATTCCATCAACAAGAGTCCTACCTTCAATGGAAGCGTCTGTGGCTTCTTCCTAAATAAACAATATAATTCATAATGAAGTATTTGCATCAACACTCGAGACGCCAAAACAAGTTAATTAAACAGAAACGAATTAATAATCTTACACTTGTGTCTTCTTTTGGAGGTCCTTGGATTCTTTCTGTTGTCTTGACGAGAAGTGATGTAACACAATCATAGACCTCATCTGAAATACGAGTCATCACTTAAATACAGGTTTTTACTCTTTAGTTTTTCCAAATGTTTATTATTCTAACCTAATCTTAAAACACCGTTTCGCTTGTTTTACAAGTATGACATCATACATACATATATACACGCATACATATGCACACATATATTACTCAGCACTCTCCCTATCAGGGTTTTTCAGTGACTGGTTACATCAGAGCCGAAACTGGCGTGAAGCAGACCGAGGTAGACTGTGAGCTTACAAATGGCGCTTTAAGCTGCCGCTATTAGTCCATACCTCATTAATGATCTGCCCCCTGACCTATGTGCCTAACCCACCCTGTCAACTTTCCCTGTGGGAGGAAACACGGAGTACCCGGAGAAAACCTACGACTTTCGGCAGAGTGTTGACTTTTACTCTCTTCACATGAGGACTGGGTTCGAGTCACATTGAGAAATTCTCATTGATATTTGATCCTGCGACCTTAGAGGTGAAAGGCAAGTGCGCTAATCATATGTCAAAGAACTCCGTGGGGAAAGTTTTTCCCCGGGCCCCAACAACTACTCGGTGACCCTGCTCCCAAAATTTTCACCAAAATACGGCCCTGAATTTGACCCCAATTGATGTTCGAAAAACGTCTCGCTATAAAAGGAACAGCAAAGCCACGTGACTTAAATACAACATGGTGAGATGTTATGATGAAGACACGTACCCATGCAATTATCAACATTAACTTTGCTTAAAATTCCAAATTTGTTGAACCATTTTTCAAGCTTCGACCAAGAGTCATCAAACCCGGTTATCCTAAAAATTAATCAAGCATAAAGTTCACACGAGGTACTTAAACATAAACTAGAATAAACCAAAGAGTCTTTGCTACGTCCAGACGTTTTCTTCTGCATTCTAGCTTATGCGTTTGGACCAGGTTCAAACCTGTTCAACTACTTTTCCTGTTACTTTCCAATGTCGTAATTTATTTATTTATTTCATGAATATTTACAGCCAGGATACAAAACACTTCTGTACAAAATACGCCTTGATTAGCTTCATAAAAAACATGGTTTGCATTGGGAATTGTCGCTAAAAAGTGTCCCTTGGGACATCGCGTGTTTTTCCGCGTTTGACGTCATTATAAGAAAGGTCTATTGTTCAAACTTTCAACATTGTTACGTTTTAAGCAAAACTTCCATGTTTTTGTTTCTGTGTTGGTGTAGTGTACTCAGGTGAATGTGATGCTTGTGATGTTACTCTGAGTGTATATCCACACCGGGCAAGCTTGAAAAATATGCCTGACCACAGTGGGAATCGAACCTACGACCTTTGGAATACTAGCCCAATGCTCTGCCAACTGAGCTACCCGCTCAGGTCGGTTCGAGTATGTGATATTTCGGAACAGAATGTAGTTCCTTCGATATCGATGTAATCTAGTAATATGAATTTTTTTATTACTAGATTATATCGATATCGAAGGAACTAGACTCAGTTACGAAATTCGATTCATCTGCGCAGTTTTCCATGTTCTTACATCATCTGCGCAGTTCTGCAATACGTCCTTCTCGTGATTGCTTGACAAAAGACTAAAAGCGGTGATTACCTTTGTTGTACTTGTTCTCGATCATTTGATGGATCTGTGACAGGACGAACTTTCTCTTGCTTTCCTAAACCTGTATAACTTCCATCTGATGGAGGATTGAACTCTTGATGAAACTCTTCACTGCTTGCAGGCTTGTCTAAATAAACATTGTACATTACAACAGCATTCGGACACTAAGGAATTTCGTACCCAGTCACTACCTAACCTGCGAACGGGCATACTCTGGGTATGAGATTGCCCTACAGTAATGTATGGTGAAACAATTCTTATTTCTGAATGCAGGGGAGGGGCGTGGCCAACTGTCGTACCATAACATTCCTGACACTCTCTCGTTTGATGAAGAAATGAATCGTATGAAGCTGTCACTCTCTCACTAAAGCTGTTTTTTACTCTAACAGTTCCTGTCAACAATTTTTGATCATGAATATATTGTATGACATAGTGGGATTTCTCGAAGAACATTGTCTTAGCAACAATATTAAGGAAAAAATTTCACACGTGAAAGCATCATAATGAAAATTTTGAAGCAAATTTTGAAAAATGTTATCATAAATATTCCAAACGGTATGTGATTGAAAAGAACTTGCGTTAATTAAAAAAATATCGTATTCACGAAATTTTATATTCTCAACTTGGAGGCTTTTGGTATAATATATCATTTATAGATCTGCAGGAAGGGGGATTCGGCGAAATATTCAACATCACTTCCGGTAATATTTCGCCGAATCCCCTCGCTCCCGCTATGGCGTAATTTGGTCATATTTTCCATTGTTTTCACGCACATTTGCAAGGTACAGTCTAGTCGTTAACGATTGTCATTCTGGCGTATGAAAACGACCGCTGACGCCACTATTCTTGTTCATCGAAAATGTGACATTTTACACGTCTTTATTCGAGTGCATCACAAAATGAAAAGAACTTCTAAAATGACCTGACGTGAGCGCCATATCACGCCATTGCGCGTGTTCTATAGCGTTTTATGTCAATTGCTGACGTCATTAGAATTTTCCGTTTTAGAAAAGCAATGCGCTATATCTCTTTATTTTGTCTGGTGACCTATGTTCAAATTTTGCATGCTGTATTGTACCGCCAAAAATTTTCATTATACAAAAAATAAAAAAATTCTGTAATGCCAAAAAAATTTTACCGAAGAATATGACATTTTCGCATTTTCCAAAAAAATGGCATTACAGAATTTTTTTATATTTTGCTAATTGTTAGCTTTTCGTCCAAGTAAAATAATGCACGAAAAATAACTGGGGGTCACCATGCTTTTTTTCCAACTATACGAGACGATAGGCCATTTTGGAGTGAATTTCGTACACGTATGTCGTCATAGCAACGAACTATCTGTTACTAAACTTATATAATTTAAAAGTTGAGATATCAAAATATATAAAAAACCCAATATCTGCTGAATAATTCCTAAAAATGCGTAGTTTGAACATGTCAAAGTGTTGAACACTTGAATTTTTGAAAACTGTATCGAGCCACCTTAAGGAACATTTGAAAACTTAGAATCCGAGGAAGCTGATCACCAAGCACAATGCCATGCTTGGCCAAGTTCCTCATGAATTATGTAAGAAGATGAAATGTTTTCTCAAAGTACTCACAAGTTCGTCCTTCAGCTCTCCTCAGTACGACTTCATCAGAAACATCAAACAACACGACGATATCAATTCCACTTTTAGGAGGAGGAGACTAAAAAACAAGATAATCTGTCAATCTGCAGCAGACGTAACCTGTCAATGGCCCGGCCATGCTTTTTTATTAGTTCTGGCCGGAACCGGAACTCTAAAAAATCGGGGTTCCGGCTGGAACCGAGTTCCGGTGCACCCCTAGCGGTAGGGTGGGAGAACTGCTACGCAGGCTATCAGAAGTCAACATTTCTTAAAAGTTGATCTGCTGCCTGGAAACGCCTTGGTTTTGCAGAATATAGTCACCATGTTTAAAAACGCAAAGCTTGAACAATGATGAGATCATGGTTGTGAGAACAAGAGTTGATAATGGCAGTTGACTGGATAGTAACATGCGCAGCAAAAACCCTCGTTCAAAAGTTGATGAGAGTCGACGAGAGTTGGTGGTAAACACGAATGAGTGAAATGCAACCCTCATCCTCATTCGATTGGAGCTTTAGCCATCATAATGAATTACTATTAGCATGTCAATGCCCCAAGTCCCACCTACTCAAGGTCCCCAAGTCCCACCTACTAACGATCCCCAAGCAACACATACTAACGGTCCCCCCAGTTCCACCCACTAACTGTCCCCAAGTCCCACCTACTAACTGTCCCCAAGTCCCACCTACTAAAGGTCCCCAAGTCCCACCTACTAACGCTCCCCAAGCACCACATACTAACGGTCCCCCAAGTTCCACCCACTAACTGTCCCGAAGTCCCACCTACTAACGATCCCCAAGTACCACATACTAACAGTCCCCCAAGTCCCACCCACTAACTGTCCCCATGTTCCAGTCCCACCTGCTAATGGTCCCCATGTCCCACCTACTAATGGTGACCAACTCCCACCTACTAACGGTCCCCAAATCCCACCTACTAACGGTCCCCAAGTCCCACCTACTAACGATCCCCAAGTCCAACCTACTAACGATACCCAAGTTCCACCTATTAATTAACCCTTTATGACCTGATGAATGGTCCCCAAGCCTTCCCTTATCCAGAAATGGTCATGTTCCATCAACCGTGAACTAGGATAAGATTCCCCGCTGAGGCATTTGAAATATTTCAAAAAGGATGTGAGAGTAGGTAGAAATTGACAAGATGGCATCACAAACTGTCAAAAGGTGTTATATGAACACATGAGCATAACAAGCCCACTTATCGTACCACAGACTGGATCTTGTTGAACACCAAAACCATAAATACACACTTCCTGAATTTTCTTGCCACAAAACAATACTGTAGCTTGAAATTGAGGTAAACAATGTAATCCATTCAAAATAAGTAGTTTTCATTGTCAGCAAGCAAAGTGTCTATTGGCTGATTGAAATTGTAGTATGTGCGACCAGGTTTACTATACCATAAATATCGATGCAACTATACTATAAACAGGGGCGCCGGAGCCACGGGGGCGGCAGGGGCAACTGCCCCCGTTGCTCAAACATTGCAGGGACAGCACGGGGGCAACAGGTTGCTCTTTTTGCCAGAACCGCACCTCAAAATTTGTGCATTATTCACAGGAATTGGAATTTAGAACTATTTTTAAGCAATGTTTAAAGATGCAGTACAGTCCGCATGTAAACAAAGGATTTGTTTACATTTCGGTATCCAAAATATAGAATTTTATTCGACAACTATTTATATTTTCATGATTCTAGAGTGTAATAAATTATCAAGACACAACAATCAAGCTTTGCAAGAACATAAAATGAAATAAAAACCTAAATAAATTGTTTGTATAATAAAAAGAGGGCTCCTTTGTTCACATACGCAGATCGGACTGTACAGCACCTTTAAGCAATCTTTGCATATTTTTTAACCAGTTGTAGTAAAATGAATGCTAAATCAAGCAATATAGTATATACGTCTGTTTACTGATTTTATTTTGCGCCTTTAGCACTGTGTAACGAATAGCTAAAAATTGATCAACATTTCGACTGGTTTGCTATCCATAATAGCCAGAAGTAATCGAGTATACATACAGTAAAGTTTTAACAAATATTGCTGCCCAGAAAAATGATGGCTGAGAACCAAGTGCCCTTTTGAAATGGCTGCCCCCCGCCGCTTCACATTGCTTCCGGCGCCCCTGACCATAAATATCAATGGGCTTATACATGGGAGGGCTTAACTACGGGGGGGGGGGCTTATGTACATGTTGGTAATAATTATACTTATTGTACCTGTAAACTATACCATGAACGAAAAGAAATACAAACATACAGAGTGTATAATTATAATCTATACATTAATACAATACTGTAAACTAATTATTGTCACTCATCCTAAGCTGTTGGAATCGCTGTGTTAATTAACCAATGGGCTTTTTAGACACGAAGGGGCATATATTCAAGGGGGCTTATATTTGGAATGGCCTGAGTGAATGCGGTGAGCTTATAAACAGGGGGCTTAATCTGGGGGGGGGAGGGGGGTTGTATAATTTCAGAGGTTTACGGCATATTACTAACAATTCAAGACATTAAAATTAATATATATGCACGCTTCCGGAAAATATCCGATCTTGGATCACCTTCGCTATCCTCTTCATGATTGACGTCAGGCTTTATAGATGGGGACCATTAGTGGGTGGGACTTGGGGACCGCTAGTAGGTGAGACTTGGGGACCGTTAGTAGGTGGGACTTGGGGACCAATAGTGGGTGGGACTTGGGGACCGCTAGTAGGTGGGACTTGGGGACCGTTAGTAGGTGGGACTTGGGGACCATTAGTGGGTGGGACTGGGAACCATTAGTAGATGGGACTTGGGGACCATTAGTGGGTGGGACTTGGGGACCGCTAGTAGGTGAGACTTGGGGACCGTTAGTAGGTGGGACTTGGGGACCAATAGTGGGTGGGACTTGGGGACCGCTAGTAGGTGGGACTTGGGGACCGTTAGTAGGTGGGACTTGGGGACCATTAGTGGGTGGGACTGGGAACCATTAGTAGATGGGACTTGGGGACCATTAGTGGGTGGGACTTGGGGACCGTTAGTAGGTGGGACTTGAGGTCCATTAGTGGGTAAGACTGGGGACTGTTAGTTGGTAGGACTTGGGGACCATTAGTGGGTGGGACTTGGGGACCGTTAGTAGGTGGGACTTGGGGACCATTAGTGGGTGGGACTGGGAACCGTTAGTAGGTGGGACTTGAGGTCCATTAGTGGGTGGGACTGGGGGACCGTTAGTAGGTGGAACTTGGGGGCCATTAGTGGGTAGGACTGGGGACCGTTAGTAGGTGGGACTTGGGGACCATTAGTAGGTAGGACTGGGGACCGTTAGTAGGTGGGACTTGGGGACCATTAGTGGGTGGGACTGGGGACCGTTAGTAGGTGGGACTTGGGGATCATTAGTGGGTGGGACTGGGAACCGTTAGTAGGTGGGACTTGGGGACCATTAGTGGGTGGGACTTGGGGACCGTTAGTAGGTGGGAATTGGTCACCATTAACCTGAATGCCAGGCCTTTCGAAAAAAATAAAAATCTGAGGAAAAACAACTCAAAAGTCTGTGCCACCCACTTTGGTATTTTTAAATATTTTAGTGGATGATTGACATATATGTTCATTGCTATTAATAACTAATGCAGGTTGTATTTGTATAATACAATTACAAAAGTACCCTGGTTCCAGAGGCGAAAGAAACGTTTTTCGCCTCGCAAAGAGCCTCTGGAACCAGGGTATTACAAAAGAATTGTTTAATTTATTTATTTATTTATTCGGATAATGAAGTTAGCCGAATTTTTGTCTTATAAACCTCGAACACCAAGGCATTTATTGATTTATAGGTCGTCCGTTTCACTATAGTATATAGACATTGACACAGTATTTCCCCCCACAAATTAAAGACTAAAACCGACTATGAAGAAATTCGCGTGTTGTGCGGATTGTCATAAATTTGATATTGAGTTGTTAACATGTTCCCTTGGTGGTAATATCTCGGGTAATACCCATGCGATCACGCATTATGTGGGAAATACGCTACTGAAAACACGTTTATTTTCTCAATTTCATTAACATAAAGTCCATAAACACGATTCAACACACAATCATCCTAATCAAAAATAGTAAAAAGTACACGCGGCACCCGCGGCTTAATTAATGACACTGGAATTCGCTGTGTGGATTGGCATGTCTTTGATAATTGATACTCTCTCCTTAGGCAACGCGTTCATCAATTATCCAGGAATTTTCGTATGTTAGTCAGATTATTTTACCGTTAGTCAGGGGGTACTATACTTTTTCTGCGCGGGGGGTTATCATTTTTAGGTCATTCATCGTTATTCGTTACTTTGATTTATGTATCAATATAGAGCCAAAAATATTCCAGTTGATCATGTTAACTTAAACCTTTGCAAAAACATTTCCATTCTCGTACACAGAGTCCTTGTTTCGAATCCAGTTTTTTCTATTTCGAGTCCGGGTTTTCAAAAGTCAAGTCCGGGTTTTCAAAAGTTAAGTCCGGGTTTTCTCAAAGACGAGTCCGGATTTTTTTCGGGTCCGGGTTTTTCTCGAGTCCAGATTTTCTTCGAGTCCGGGTGCGAGTCCGGCCCGGTTTTCGAAGTATGCCGATCTGGCAAGCCATAGAAGTGTTCCAGAGGTTCTTCCCGCCCGCCTCCCGCCCAGCTTGCAAACTCGTGTATCCCTCATTATCCCCCTGCGAGCGTGGAAGAACCTCTGGCACTCAGGGTAATTTAACTTCAATAATAAAAAGCATGATAGTATTGGGAAAGAATTAAGAAGAGGACTGCAGCCAACTCTCATGCACTCTCATTCTCGTTTCATCTGAGCTTAATATAGTCATGTACTTTTTCTGATCATGACTAAAACCTAGAAATATAATGATAAACGTGGATGTAAGATGAAGTACCTCGACAGCAGGATGTGGATCTGGAGCAATACGAGATTTCTTTCCTCTTCCCTTCGTTTCTTTAGGTTTTCCTTCCTTACTTGCGTCATAACCTGTTAATGATTTCTCCAGCAGCTACAGAAAATATGATTTACCACAGAGCATGAAATACTACATGAAATTCACTTTTTAAATCTCTTCAAATTCTGTCCATTATTAATCCTGTGTTACCACAGAAGGGAAGCTCATATCTCGAGGTGAAATTCACGAAAGATCACTGAGGTGAAATTATAATGAAACAACTGCATATTGCAGAAGTGTGATGACATTGCGTCACAGATCAAGGTGAAAGGTAATAAGCACTGTGTATCAACAAACATCACACAAACACACAGATGCTCACGTCATTTAATAGAGTAAAAAATTCCAGATCCACTATTCTGCATGCAGATTTCCTGTTTGATTTGTTAGGATAGCAAACGTGTATTAGGGAGTTATTGTGCAGTAAGTTATAACTGTTGTGTATAATGTACCTTTGCTTGGTTGATACTTGAAGGAAAACCGTCCAATATCCAGCCAGTTCCAGCTGGAACTTGTCTGCAAAAATTGGATAAAAGTCGTGTTTACGATAGTAGACCTTGCATGGCATGGAAATGTCCAGTTTTTGCTTCACTGATTGCTTAGTTTAACGACCAATCGGTATAAGCGATATAATAAGGCCAAAGCCAGGCTGAGGTTTGCACTGTGTAAACATAAAGACTAAATTGTTTTTAATCAAATATACAGGTTCACTGAATTTGCACTCTCCTAATAGTCAGTCTAGGGCTTTCCCTACATCTGGAAAAGCATGGCCCAACTTACTGATTATCATTTATCTTACAGAAACCTGGACAACAAATCTGAAGCAGGGTGGTGATATTCTTCAATACATTATCAACGTTTCAAACACTGGATAATTAGTGTGGAGAACCTAGACAGTGTTGTTCTTATGGACATCTGAATTTTGCGTTACAAGTGAATCAATATACCCAGGTGTAAATAAATTATGCGTTCTTTAGCTTCTTTCTTACCTGATAGCATCCACAGCTATATCAACCAGTAACTGATCTGGGATTTGTTTTCCTTTCTTTAAATATTCATATGCTTTTTCACCCAGTATTGCTCGTGAAGTCGCCTGAAATAACCAAGATAAATCATCAGGAGCTGTTTGGACGAAATCCAGATAGCGCTACCCGCCGGACAGTGATGGTTTTCAAGTTTTCTTAAATAGACCTTATGCGTAATGACGTCACAAGGCTTGATGCCAGCGAGGAATGCTGGTCTTAGTAGTCATCGTCCGGGAAAATTAAACAATTCAAAATGGCCATTATCGAAATTTTCCCCGGCAATGACTACTAAGACCAGCATTCCTCGTGGAAATCAAGCCTTGTGACGTCATTATGCATAAGGTGTATTAGTTGTTGACTGGTACAACCTAGATTAAATTTCAAAATCCAAGTTTCCTTTTATTGACTGTGGGAAGTCAACAAACAAATCACTCAAGACAAATCACTATGCGGTGCAAGCCTTCGTACAAATGACTCCTACAGTGTACAAAAGAAGGCTTGATTATCTGAACAAACCAGAGAATGAAAATAATGGTCGAACATCGGATGTGTAGACAAAACATAACTGTCAGTTGAAAAATGTTTAACAAAGACTGCCACAGACCATCTCGCAAAAAATACACAATTGTTAAATTTAAAAACATTTTAACTATTCTGTATAGTATTTGGCATAAAGTATTATTTATTGACGTGATCAACCCACTGGACGCCGGGAATTAAAATGAAATAAAAAATGGACAGTCTCGTATGTGTACGGTCGAAGTATTGTTTAAACGTAAAGATTAACTCAATGATATGATAGTACAGAGTAAAATCAAGAAAGAAATACCGACACAAATAATCTATCACCAAAGTGAATTCTACTTTAATTGCTAAAACAGTAGAATGAAAATGCTGGTAGATCCGAAAAAAAAGGAAAAAAGAATGAGAAATACAACCTACCTTTTTAATGACGAAGAAACTTTTCTTTTCCTCTTCTAACTCGTTTGCAGTCCCTTCATTATCACCACAGTCTCTCGCTTCAGCAGTCTCTGGTACAACTGCATTATTAGGATCTTGGTTTTCTAGATTTTGAAGAAATATTTGTTGAAAACTATTGATAGTGCTGGAATAACTGGCTGGCTGGCTTAACCCATTCAGCACCAGGGCTCTCCCTTGACGAGGCTTTAGACATGGTAGAATAATACAGCATTATATACTCGGCAAACCGGGCAGAAAATAGTCTAAGTTTGGGTTAGTCGAGTATATTATCAGGTTTGAGTCAGGCCAATCAAACTCATTAATGAATTCTGTGTAGTTTGTTCTTCGGTTGAATTAGAGTTACGCGACGAAGGAACTTCACATTTATTTAAACATATTTGAAAAATACATTTGCCAAAAAAGTGAGTTTGTCTTTACATTTAAATATTTTCTTAAATATAGTTTACTGTCCACTATATTGAAAACAACTGTAACGAAAACTATCGATACACTTGTGTTTCACCTACCCGTCTGTGATTGCCACTTGCATAACGCTATATTCATTCAATAGAGCACGACAACCTGATGAACCATTTGATTGCATCAACATGAAACTATTTACTTGACAAACAGTGCTGAGTTGTACCACTTCCAAATTTTACTTTCTCAGAGTGATATCGTGTGAAATATCTGTGCAAGCTGCGGACTCTAAGAGGGATTCAAGTACTTGAGAAATACAAGCATAACTTTGACGTTTCGAGATTTGGTTACTAACTTCCCGGTGCTTTCGCTCGAAACGTTAAGTTTTACTTGTATTCTTCAAGTAGTAGAATCGTTTACAATCAGCAGCTTTGTGGTGTTATTGTCGCTACCTACGCTGGCATTCAAATGAAATATCAGTACCTTTTGTTTCATCACGAGTTTGATCTGAAACTTTTGTTTCTTCTGCTTGAGCAAGAGGCTTGTCTTCACCATCTCTTTCATTTTGTGACTAAAATATGAATATTAATTAAAGTGACAAAATATGGCTCTTTGTCTTACTTGTACACACAGCTTCAAGGTTACCAAAGCAGTGTAAAAACACCTTCCAGAGGTGTTCAGATACGCTCAAAGTGTAGATTTACATCAAGTTGGTGTCCACACAACTGAATCTATTTAACACTGAAAAGGTGTACATTGACACCAAATTAATGTCCACACAGCTGCAAGAATTTACACGGATTTTGATGTTGTGGTAACATTCCCAGATTCACTCCGACTGTAAGCACGTAGTTGCGAATCTAATGCAGGGAGGTTTATGTTTGAAAGAGACAAATCCTCACCCACTGTGTGGATCGTGCAATGGATTTGCTTCTACAAGAATGTTAACCTAACAGAATGTTTAGCACTCGTATAATTGAGAGCTTTAGATTTTGACTTCATTAACCAATGAGATCCGTAAATCTACCTGTTTAATCCATGCGTATTATGTGAGGTAGCGTTAAGGTCCGTTTACACGCGCGGTTTGTTGTGTACGATTCGTATTCTGGCGTATGTAATCGAATAAACACGACTGGTTGCATTTGAAATTTCGCTAGAAACTGAATGAAGAGGAATTGTGATATCAGCAGCATCCTCGTTCCCAGGGCTTCTCGGCTGCCTGTGTGGCAACGCAGCAGTATGCATCAGCAGTAATTTCAATACGCCAGAATACGAATGAAACACGACAAATTGCAGCGTTTAAATGGGCCTTTAGTGAAAGAGAAATCTAAACCGAATAATACTGCGGCAGTAGCTTCTGTAACTCCGAAAATAAACATATTAATATTCTAGCTTTCGACTAAGATTCAGTCATCATCAGGATTTCCTGATGACTAGCCTGCGTAGATGATGACTAACGCCCGTATTCTAAAAGCTCACTCACACTCAATGAGTGGAAGTTCAATCTGAGCTTCTCTTGCGTGTCAATGCTGTTTTTGAATAGCTGGAGGGCTAGTGTCGTACCTTACTATGAGACTACTCATCCTCCAGCTATTCAAAAACAGCATTGACATTCAAGAGAAGCTCAAATTGAATCTCCACTCATTGAGTGTGAGTGCGAATACGGGCGTGAATCTTAGTCGAAAGCTAGAATATTAAAATGTTTATTTTCGGAGTTATCGTTGTTTTATATTTTATTAAAATACTCAGTGGTTCCCGTAATTTTTAGTAGCTACAGTCTAGGTACGTCTTAATATACCTCAGTATTTTCCACAATTTCGTCTCTCGTCTCGTCAAGCTTGTGAGCCTGAGTCGCTTCTTGAACAAGATCATCAATACATAATCTCACCACTCTATGACCTACAGAAGAACACATATCGAGTAACCTCACTAACTTCCTCATGAAGGGTCTTCGTTCAAAACATCGAAGTTCTCCTTAATGTATTTTTCAGGTCGTTGCATCCTTACCAAACGACGTTTTTGTTATAATTGCCACCAGGGGCGTAGGAAGCATCAAAAGATTGGTGGGGGGGGGGGGTTCCAGGGCACTTTAGGATATTGAAAAGGGCACCTAAAAAATTTTCACCGGAAATGTTGACGACGGGGGGGGGGGATTTTCCCGTCACGCCATACCGAAATTGCACGTTTTGACCAAATTTAAAAAAAAAAACACGGAAATTTCCAAACAAATTAAGGGCACCTTTGATTTAGTATTTCAGCGACATTAGCTTGACGTACAAAAAGGGCACTTTTCATCACAAAAAGGGCACTTTTAGTGCACTGCTACGCCCCTGATTGCCACTACCTATACTAGCACAGACCGTTCAAGAGAATCCTAACCATTGTAGCAACATGTATAGCAGTGGCGAAAGCCACAGGGAGGAACAGGGCAACCCCCCTCCCCAAAAAAAAAAAAATTCTGAAAGCCTTGCAAAGTTAGTTTCGCCGTAACATTTCCTGAAACAGAACATTATTAAACTAATAATTGATTATTATTCGTACTTGCAATAAGACGTTGTACAGCGGTAGTCTTGCCGCTGAAGAACTTTCCAAGAAAACATGCTTTTACTGGAAACGGTGGAAATTCTGGTGTAGGTGGAGGTGGCTAGAATGAAGACAAGAAATGATTGAAGACGAAATAAATAATCGCGTTGTTGTCTTTTCAATATCACGTCATCATATTCAGCCAATTAAATGACTATAGGATTTAACGAGGTGTTACACGTTGTATATAATATTAAATAATGTCTGTATAATATGACCCAGGATTGGATTATCTTATGAAATATATATTCTCCATACCTCAGGAGGATATATAATATTGAATAATTTCTGTATAATATGACCCAGGATAGGATTATCTTTGGGAGGAATTTGAGCAACATCCAGTGCTTCATCACTTGGCGCCCACTCACCAACAGCACCCTGCAACGAGAGAGGACATACTGCTATGCACCAATGTTCATAGAGAGAAAGTAAATTTAATATAATTCACTTTGATAGACACATAACATAATATTTAGTCTCACGGCTTATTTTTCCCCGTGGTCCTTGACTAGGGGCTCATGAGAACGAAACAAAGCATAATATTTTGGTATTTAAATTATTGCTTTCGATTAAATAAACACAATCTGTAGAAAACATTTAGTGTTCCAATATCGCTTTATTTTGAGATTAGTTTAAATGGAAGACGGGTGGGGCAAAGTAAAAGGGTGGGGCTTATTATTCAGCCTGCATTCTTGATTAGGGACTAATTAGAAAGGGGAGCGGGGCTGCTGGGGGCTCAATGGAGAAATACGGTATTTTAAGTTTCAAATTTGGAGTAAGGATGAGAGCTGGATCAAAACATTTATTTACCAGCCTCTTACGCTGCCTCGGCGAAATATCTTTGCATTCTCTATGATTGTAAAACATGTGAATACCGTAGAAAAATGCAATGAAGTTTACACGTACTCTGACTAACAATTTGAAACTAAACTTAATCGATATTCAATGAAGTTTACACGTACTCTGATTAACAATTTCAAACTAAACTTACTCGATATTCAATGAAGTTTACACGTACTCTGATTAACAATTTCAAACTAAACTTACTCGATATTCAATGAAGTTTACACGTACTCTGACTAACAATTTCAAAATAAACGTACTCGATATTCAATGAAGTCAGACTCATCTGTCAGTTTGTTTCTCTCTTCTTCAACGAGAAGTTCTTTGGATCTTTCAATTTCGTCCTCGGTTAAAATCTACGGCAAACCAGATATTTGTTTTAAACAGAAAACAGACTGTAACTGTGGATGTTACGAGATGCTCACTAGGTCAAACACTAGGATTTGATAATACAGAAAAACTACAATAATTTTACCCTAAGTGTGACATTATATACATTAAGTTGACAATGAATATA